ATAATTCTGTTGATAAGTTGATAACCAATAATTCTGACTCATCTCCCAGCAATAGGATCACTTTTTGATGGGCAGTTGTGGAATCACAGATGTAGAAATGTGAATTACCGTTAGCCACGGGGATGGCAGGCTCCTCTGGCTGCAGCAGGTGGAGGTAAATTAAGCGCTGGCCCATCTCAACCCAGTTACTGTGGCTGTAGAAGTCCTAGCATAACAGAAATTTCAAAGTGTAACTACTACATTTAAGCCATTTTAACATACATTCTTACATCCATGCAAGCAGAGAGGCAGAATGTAAATGGAGACTGCTTCTGTATTGTATTTGTTTACAAGAGCCAAATACAATATTGTTAATAAGTTGGCTAATGCAGCTTTTATTACCATTGCCATAATATATATAATATCCACATACAGTACATGTTTTACATAGTTTTAAACTGATTCTGGTGCTTCCTACCATGAGGTTAGTTCAAGGCCAATTATTAGCCTGTATGGCTAACAACTGCAAGCATGGTATCAACTTCTACTGCTGTCCTCATTCATACATCCTCTGGCTCTTTTAGCTAAAGTCAGGATTAAAACCTATTTGTGTTTTAACTGATATGGCCTCTGCACACTCAAGTCTTTACCTCTCCCTGCTAATACTTCTATTGTCATGATTACCAATCATCAAGGTCATGGTTATATCCCATGTATCTTTTGCTGTCTGTGTCTTATATACAGCATCACTGTGTACCTGCAAGGAGTGAAATAGCTGGCCCAAGCTGTGGCGAGCACTTTGGTACTCTTTCGCCCGTACTGAGAGCAGAGTCTGAGCCCAGAACTGACGTAACATCACCATGGCGCTCTCCACGTGTTCTGAATCAAAGTGGTACACCGGGTCGGACCTGGTGGAGCTCAGGAAGTCCATGGCCGCATTGGACTTCACCACCTCTCCTACAGCTCTCCAGAAGCCACGGCCCAGTCTGGTCTTGGGGAGAGGATACAGGTTGATTTTTACTATCATTAGAATGAGATGAAGTTCTCTGCTCAAATATCACCATGTAATGTGAAAATATTAATATGTCTTATACTGAATGTACATATACAATACATATCCTGACTGCAGACATCAGCTCACCAGTTCTTCTGCATGGTTTCCCTGGTGTTTTTTGGTGCCCCTCAGAGTCTCCAGGGTGACATTGAGAATAGATTGCTCTGTGATGTCCTGGTGCGTGTGTGAGTTCCAGGACAGTGTTAACACTCGAGACCAAAAGTTTGGGAGGAAGCCCATGCATGGTAAAGCCAGGAGGAGAAGATAAGCGAGAATAAACCACTGCATATGCTTCCCACTCCCTTCCCAAATTTTCCCTCTGCCCTGTGACATTATGTCCTGCAGGTGGTGAGTAGGTCACATCCTACCTGCACAAAATAAAACAAAACTATCTTTTAAGTCATTTGCAATATAAAATACACTCTTGTATCCAATCAGTCTTTGTTTCAAAATTGTTTATGTAAATTTCCCCAAAACATATAGAGTGTTAAAGTACAGTTGTGGACCAGAAAACCAAAACAGTGAGCTAAAATATGCAAAAGTTTTCCATAGAGCTGAGGGGAAACTCCATACCTGAGTTGTTTTCTGTGTGTTCATCATTATGAGCAACAACTGTCACATTACACACAGTCATTTGATGCATTGTTCATGTACAAATATTGGTAAGAGCAGCTTTATTAACTAATGCTATTTTTGAAGCTGTAATCGATGTCTGTTAGAAGGGCATGTTGAAAATGAACAATGCTTATCAAATGAGTTATTTATGATTCATGATTTTGTCATGTATAAAGCATTTTCCTCATTTTCCCCAACGCCTATTGTCAAGTAATGTTTTGTGCTAATTTGATTAGTCATCCATGTGTCCTTTCCCACTCCTTAACCCCCAAACCTCCTTTCACATTTTTCTCAGCCTTGTCTGTACAGAGGCTCCTATTGTTCTTTGCCATCTTTATTCAGATACAATACTTTGGTTTTGTTCTCATAGTCTGTGCTTTCACAAGAGGGAGGCTGAAACAAAGCACGAGGCCTATAAACAACTGCTCCCTCCAGTCTCCCAGACTCCATTCAGCAAATCAGTTTTAATTGATTGCCGTGGTGTCTTAAATCGAGAGCACAAAGACTCCTCCTTTCACTCATTCTGCAGGAATGACGAAATATCGGATACTCGTACATTGATTATTAATTTTTACATTTTCAGCACACATAATTTGTGTACTGTGGTTCACTTTAAGTAACTACTCATCAGGTTGCAGTATATTTATTATCTAAAGCTTTGCTTCAAGACAAACTTCCTCCTTCATTACAGTGCAATAATGTCAACTAGGAATGTGCAAACTATTATTCTTTATCCCAAAGACTTAAGTGTACAAAATAGTAGTGCATGTCATATTGTTTATGTTTTAACTATGGTTTGTATATCACCAGGCAACTACAAACCTTTACTTAAAGTTGCATGTAAAATCTAAGAATGCTGTACACAAAATATAAATGTTCTCACCTCAGTTCATCCTGGTAGACTTTTAGATTTTGTTCAGACACCACAGTATTCAGCACAGACGCCGTCCTGTAAGCGCAGAGGAACACCGCACATTTACATTTATATGACAACGTAGACTTTCACCACAACCTGTCAGCAAAGGAAACTGTGCCTATTATTACAGCTTTTCTGTCTGTGTAACAAAATTATTGAGTCTTCACATTTGTCTGTCCTTGGGCTCTTGTCTCTGGCCAGCTCCTCAGTAATCAAAATAACAACCAAGATACAAACGTAAGGAGTACCGTGTTTAACTCAGAGGAGAGTCTGGTTGACACTGCTTGGTCTGGAGTGCATTTCTTAGCAAGGGGGTCACACCATGAGGCAGAAGACATCTCGTCATAGCTCCCCTACAGCATTGTGCCCCTCCTTAGTCCCCATTATTGCACGGTGCATTGATTCACCACAATAGGGCCGCATATATTACCAGCCAGGGTGTTCAACTTAGGCCTTCCCCAACCCCCCTGTCCTTCATCCATCACTCTCTCTTTTCCTCACAAACCAAAAAACACTACTTTACACAACTGCAAACACTACAACCCCTTCCTCTCTCCGTAGTTACCCACATTAACATCTAACGGCAATGCAAAGGAGGGCATCAGTTGCTAGCCAACACAAGGGACAATGTTAAACTTCAGTTTGTTGAAGGGAATGTTGTAAAAGAAGACATGAGTACAGGGGTCTGGTTCTGGTATGTTTCTCAACTACCTTATACGAAGTGAACTATTGTAGTCCAGACCAAAATATGTGAAAGAAAAACATGCAAATAGACAAGAAGAATGTTTGTCTCTGATTTGTTTCATTTGGTTTTGAAAGTCTGACAAGTTTGGGGATTTATCTGATGAGCAATTAAGAAAGTGAAGTTGAAAAAGTGGGACACTTGACCACACAGAATCAATGCACCGTTTAGACAGTGTGCAATGCGTTAAGGTCCATGCATGCATCTGCAGATGGAAAATCATGTGTGGTAACTATTCTGCTAAACCTCTCAGTTTACTAGAAGCCAGCTGAATGTGAGGTTGGTGCATGTTTCCTGTTCACCTACGGAAAGTTAACCCAGTTTGCATGCACTGATACATATTCTCAAGTTTTACCACATGAACCACAAATTACACAGGTACTGTTGCTGCTCTACTGGCTTCTGGTGTTTGTTTGTGTGTAGGAGCATTAATTCACTCCAAAACTTACGATACTGATAAATGAAGGCCCTGACTAGGCAGTTATTTCCCATTCTCCAAAGGCTGTCTTTTTGTTGTGATTGCTATCGACACTATCCATCTTCTAAATTGCTGGATGATGGTTTGATTTTTACGATAGTAGGGGCTGGAGTGTTTATGGAAACACAGCACGAATGACACAGCATGATATAAAACTTCTGGGAGCTTGCCAATTTCAGTATGCCTCTTTTACCTTTGTAAGGGGTTGGATGTGCAGACTATATTTTATGATTAGATAAAAAATTTAAAACAAGGTTTGTGACATGATGTGAGATGATTTAAGTTTTTTTCCCCTCAATTATGCCTTTATCGATAGTTGGCAAATGTGAATATTATGGTGGTTAAATGTTGCCACAATTTGGCATCACACACACAATGAGGAACAGCATTGTCACACTTGTAATGATCAGAGCGGGTACACAAGACTAGGATTTGTGTTTAATATGCACACTATAGGGCAGTTGTTCTCTCTCTCTCTGTACCTTGGCTCGGCCCTCCCCCTGTTTGAGGTTTCTTCTGACTGAGGTTTCTTCTGACAGTTAGGATCTTGCACGTCTTTGTTCTCAAGACAAAGGGCTCATAAGCCAAAGGTCAGGATCTTCTGATGACATCCATGTGCACGACAATGCCTTAGTTTAGACGATCAGGCCATGGTTGATTCAGTCAAAGTTTGCACTGTACAGGATTCAGCTTGATCAAACATAACGTAAACTAACTGATTGACATGATCAAACGTAATTCCCCTGTCAATGTATTCATAATCATGTCAATTTTGGGAGCCAAGATAGAGAAAAGAACCTTGGCAATACACTATTATACACTATATAGCATGTGAGTAGTAGATGTAGAAATGTGTATAGTATACAGTCTATACCATTCAGAGTTCTTACTTACATTTCAAACCTTGTGCAACCTGCTTTGGTAACACTGTATTTAAGTCACATACATTCATATATCATACCAATAAAGCACATATATATATTTTTTTACATATGATTGAAGGTTTCTGTATATATCAGTTAATTCAATTATGTAATTCAATCTGGAAAGCTAAATAATTAATGAGAATGACATTTAAATTCAGAAAAGACCTGTTTGTGTTGTTTTGTTTTGTAACCTACTGTTTCTCCGCTGTACGCATGCGCGGCCTGAACTACAGCGTCCACGCGCCTTTACCTGGCGTCAAGGTGCATTTGGATGTTTCCTATTAGCGGGCACGCGCATTTCCGGTTACACGTAGCCCACGCCCTCTACAGCTGTGAGCGTGACTTACCGAGGGGCATTCCGCAGCAAAGAGCTTTTGTGAAATAGTCCGCGGTAGACAGACTTCCAAATAACAGGTAATCTCCACCTGTCAGGTGTGTAACTGGTAGGCGTGGCTTGGGTTTGACTCCTTATACCCACCTTCCGTATTTGCTATTCCTCTCCGGACGCGGCCTGCACAGGTGATTCACAAAGGTATCGGATGCATTGTTTTCATGGAATATGTTAAAAAATACTGTTATATATATATTATATATATATATAGCCTGCGGTAGTGTAACGGTTAGAGGGGTCTGTTTGGATGTATGTTAAAACCACAGGTGTTTTCGTATACACCAGGTGAATTGTGCTTT